TGTGTGTGTGTGTGCATATAGAAGGTATATATATATATGCATTTATATATATATATAAAGATTCTATATGATTAAAAGTATGGAAAGGGGGGTTTAAAATGTTAATATAGCATAAGGAAGATGCATTACATATATGCATTTCTCTCCATAGAAGTCCCAAGGACTGTACAATAATGAGTTTAAAATACTATACAAAACTATATTTTTTTAAAAAAATTACTAAACAGTAATAAAGATTAAAAACAGTTTCAATAACCTTTCAGAAAACATTTAAAATATCTAAATGTCATAAGTGGAGTATTCCTGAAACACCCCACCTCTCACTTATTGCTTAAAAGCTGCATAGAATGGAAGGTCTTTGCCTGACGATGGAAGGGCGAGAGGGAAGGAACCAACCCGGCTTCTCAGGGCAGCGCATTCCAAAGCCTGGGAGCAGCCACTGAGAAGGCCCTCTCTCTTGCCTCTTCACCAAATGAGCTTGGGAAGGAAGTGGAACCAAGAGCAAGGCCTCCCTAGAAGATCTTAAAAACCAAGATGGCTTTTATGGGCAGGATACAGTCCTTCAAATAGCCTGGTCACTAGTCAGGGACTTCTGGGGATGGGAAACCACCACAGGCTCCAAGACCTTGCCCAAAATGGAATATTGGGCAGCAGCTGATAACTAACTAATACAGTGGGATTCAAGAAGGGCCTTATGAGAAAGGTCTAATTACTGCCTCACTGTATGCCTAAAGGAGAGCTTCACTGCTCCCTTAACCCATTCAGCCAATTCCCCTCTGGCTGCTTTTATAAGCCAGGAAGAGCAAAGATCCCACACACATGTGGTGGCTTCCACCTCTCCAAAGATCCCGTCCACATCCTCAGGCTGAAAAAAACTGAAACATACCCATGATCATAGGAAAAGCAGTGGCCAAAGTTACATCAACAGGACCTGCATCAACTACAGCGTCTTGTAAGTCAGAGCAGATCTGAGCAACTTTATCTGCAAAGTGCCATGCAAACTCGTGACAGCAGGCTTTTCAATCCCACATTTTTAATCCCCTGGATCCATATTTAACACGAGAGACCCTTGTGTTAAATGTTCCTAGGGAATGGTACCTGCTTCCATAATAGAGGAAAAGATGCTCCACTGCGAGGGTTACAACTTTGATGGTCCCTATAAAGATTTGCAGAAAGATTCGACATGGCAATAGTGAAAGAGAGAGAAGCAGTATTTGGGGCACCCTAAGGGTTTGCAGAGAATAGTAACATAGCCACAGTGAAAGTGTGACAAGCACTAGTTTAGTATCCTGAATGGATTGGAGACGGCAGATACAGAGTGCAGGATAGCAGAGAAGACTGCCAAGGCAGATGCTGCATGTGTTGTAGTTAGGTCACCACAGTTTGGAGCAAGCATTTCATGGGGGGGGGGACCCAACTTGATGATTGCTCAGATGTTGGAGGAGAAGCCAAGCTGATGGTGGCACTGCTTAAAGAACTACTGCAGACATCATTCTATTTGTGGCAAAATCTCTTACAGAGGGATCTTCACAGAAAGACGTTTGTTCTTCACAGAGCAGAACAAATATAACCCAGCAATAAATCACATTGCAATAATTTCATCTTTTGTTCATATGTACCAAAAATAAGACATCCTGTCATCAAAAGACAGTGCTTTACTGCCACAGACCAGAGCAGGAAAGTGGGAGGCACAAAGCAATGGGAGAATCTGCTGGTGTGGAAGCATAAGGATCAGCAGGCAGGGCAGGGATGGGAGGGTTCCCTGCGACTCTAGAAACCAGAACGGGCCATGGCCATGGTGCTGTGGAAATTCTTGCAGCTGTCATCCCAAAAAGTAAGGTTCCTAAGCCCTGTACCCTAGTATATATGGCTAAGCCCCTCTCAAGAGGCTTCTCCCACCACCAGCACCACCTCCGTCTCTTCCTTCTGCTGTCCCATATTTCCTTTGCTACCAGGAAATAGGCAGAAAATCCTACATTCATGCTTTCACACAAGCTTTGGCAAGAACCAGCTGACATCCCCCCTCCCTTCAAGTGGCGCAATATTCCAGCTGCTGGCTGGCCAGTTCCACCCGACTCTTGGACTGAGCAGAGGACAATGAAGCGCAGCGGCATGTTGCCGGGCCTGACACAGCTCTGGTGAGCCATGGCCTTGGGCAAGGAGCCAGGCTCATCTGAATCCCCTCTCTCTGTGCAGAGATTTGGGAGTGCTTTGTTGCACCATCAGTTGTGTGCAGTAATGAATGGGGGTTCGCTGTCCCATGGACATCCTGCTTTTTCCTAGATGAGGAACAGATATTAAGAACGCGTGAGCTTGTGACTAGAAGAGGAAATTTCTTTCATAATGTGAGAGCCTGAGTGTAACAGCAGGAATTTATGTCCCCTCTGGGACTATGAGAATTCTGTCTTGCTTTATTTGCTGGTGAGCTTTCAAGACTTTGTATTGTGATTTCGCAAACATGGAAAGACTACCTCAGTCATCTCTCCCCTCCCCACCCTCCACACAACCAGGCTTTCAGCCCTAACTACAGATGGACTTCAAAGTCTGCTCCTGGTCATCACCAGGCTTTGCAGTTTATCAAGGCTTCTTTTATTTAATTTTACTTTACAGTTTTTTTTTAATTTTATGGTATTTTTGTTTTGCCCTTTTATATTTTATGGATGTTATTGATTTTTTTTTGTGATTATGTTATTGTTTGGTTGTTGTAAAACACCCAGAGTAGCCTTGGCTGCCTGATGGGTGGTATAGAAATCAAACCAAACAAAACCAAACCAATCAATCAATCAATCAGTCAATCAATGAATAAATGAATAATACTCCACCAGCTGGCACTGGAACAAAAATTCCCAGGAAATAAGGGGTTTTGTCATATTTTGGCTCTGTTGATATTAGCTTCAGTTCAGCATTATGTAGACACCTGGATGTAGTACCAGTATCATGGGTGCAAGGAAAGGGGGGTGGAGAAATGCCCAGGGTGGGTCCACTCTACAGTATGGCTGGTTAAAGATAAAGGTCCATCAAGAAGGGGAGCAGGAACCTTGGGGTTACCCATACCGAGTTTGCACCTGGACAGCAAAGAGCTGGAGGCACGCGACTCGCAGGGTCACCACTTACTATACTGTGATGAGATTACTGTCTTTCTATTTAAATGCAGTAATTATTTACATTTGTTGTTATGCAGTTTCGATTCATGATGCCCCTATGAATTGTCATTAACAGCCCTGCTCAGGTCTTTGCAGACTAAATATTGTGGATTCCTTTCTTGAGTTAAACCATCTCATGTTCATTCTTCCTCTTTTTCTATTGCCTTTCAGTTTTCCTGGGGTCGTTCTTTTTTCTAATGAGCCTTGTCTCCTTTCAGTGTAGCCATAGTGGGATAGCTCCTGCTTAGTTATTTTTTCACTACTAGAATGAATTCAGGCTTATTTCCTTACTTGAATCAACCACCTACATACATTTTATGAAAGCCAGGGGGTTTATTTTTGCAGGGTGATGTATATGATCAGTGAAGTTTTGGGGCTCCTCAATGAGACACTCTCAGTTAGGGTCCCATACTCCTTACATGGCCCCCTACTCACCAGTGCTACGTACGACTATCGCCTCTTTGCTTGCTGTTTCTTTCGGTAGACTCCACCTCCCAGAGGAAGAGGGCAAAGTGTGCAAGGACTAGGTACTTTGTCCATTTCCCCCTAATTTGCTCACTTGTCAGAGAAGTCCTGTGAATGGGTAGCAACAAGGAGAGGAAGCAGGCGCCCCATTAGAGTTGTATATGGGGAGCGCCTATGCAGGTTCTCACAATTGTACCTTCCCTGAGGAATTGTACCACCAGAGGAAACAGGGTTTGCAGGAAGTTTTCCTCCTCCTCCTCCTCCTCTTCAATTTTTTGTCAGGCAGACGTTCTCTACAGGGAAACACCTGCTCCTAATGTTCCACTTTATCACCAGAGGAAACAGGGTTTGCAGAAAGTCTTTCTCCTCCTCCTCCTCCTCCTCCTCCTCCTCTTAAATTTTTTGCCAGGCAGACGTCCTGTACAGGGAAACACCTGCTCCTAATGTTCCAGCTATCGCTACCTGAGGCTGATGGGGGGTGGGGAAATGAACAATGATGGTGGGTATTGCTGTGGCTAGAGCAATGATGGAGGGCACTGCTCTGCACAGTGTGCCCCTCTGACTGAATAATGAGGAGTAACAACAACACTGGAGGAAAAGGTGGCATGTATGTTTAACTTTCTAATAGATGGACCCATTTTTCTGTCCTCTCACTGAGCAACCTGCCCTCTTTCTTCCTTCTTCTCTCTCCGCTCTTAGCCTGGCAGCCGCCACTATGGAATACCTCCTTTTGCTGATCCCCCTCCTGGGACTCGTGAGCAGTGAGATGCCCTTCGTGCAGAGAGGCTTCTGGGACTTCTCCATGGATGATCCCAATGTCCAGGAAGAGGAAGAAGCTTCGGGGATCTTCCCTACTTCAGGAGGGGCTGAAACTGACGTGATTGTTCCCTTCTACCCAGGACTCTGTCCATTTGGCTGCCACTGCAACCTGCGGGTGGTGCAGTGCTCTGACCTAGGTGAGTCTCTCTGTGTTCGTGTGTGTGTATTATCAATCAATCAATCAATCAATCAATCAATCAATCAATCAATCAATCAATCAATCAATCAATCAATCAATCAATCAATCAATCTATCTATCTATCTATCTATCTATCTATCTATCTATCTATCTATCTATCTATCTATCTATCTATCTATCTATCTATCTATCTATCTATATCTATCTATCTATCTATCTATCTATCTATCTATCTATCTATCTATCTATCTATCTATCGGCTGTAGTGCATTCACCTGAACTACAGCAGGGAATTCTAAATATAGTCATGTGAAAAAGAAAGTACATCCTCTTTAAATTCTATGGGTTTACAGTGCATATCAAGACATAATAAAAATTATCTGGTCCTTAGCAGGTGTGAAAATTAGGTAAATACAACCTCAAATAAACAACAACATATGACATATTACACTGTGTCATAATTTATTCTACAAAAATAAAGCCAAAATAGAGAAGCCATATGTGAAAAGCTAAGTACAGTACATGCTTACGGCTTCCATGGGAATGAAGAGGCTAAGTAGCTGCTAACCAAAGGGCAGTAGCAAAGGTGGGTGTTCACACATTCTCTCTGCCTCTCTGTCTCTGTCTCTCTCTCTCTCTCTCTCATACAAACACACATAGCATTGACATACGAGTACAAACTGGAGGAACTGGTGAAACACCTAGGTTTTTGTTCTGTCTGTGCTTTGTGCAATTGGTGCAAAAGGCCTGTAGCATATTTCTCTTTTGTGAAGCTAAATAGACACACACACAGCAAGCAAATAAGGATAAGCTGCTTGCCCATAAGGATGCATGCAACTGTCATAAAAGCCCAGGCATTGTGGCAGCGATTCCATTTTGTACATTTACAGAAATCTGCAAAAATCAGTATTTCGAATGTGTGAACTTCTGAGGCTGACATTATATTATATTATTATATATTATTATATACTGTATTATTATATTATAATATATTATATTATATTATATTATATTATATCATATCATATCATATCATATCATATCATATCATATCATATCATTTATATTATATTATTGCTGTCTCACAGGTGATGAGGTGGTATGGGTAGGTGTTTTGGCATTATCTCATGTGGTGCTTGAGAATCAATTGAGTAAGAATTTACACCTCAGTTTTGAGCAAAGAACAGAGACCCCTCCCTCCTCCAAGTACCCTCTCTCATTTCAGGGATCAGCTAGCTGGGCTGCTGGGGTCAGAGAATGTATTTCAAGAAAGGGGCATGAAAACTCTTTATTTTTAATTTTCTTCTGTTTCTATGAATGCTATCTGCATTCTTCTCTCACCTTTAATTCATATTAGGTTTGTGAGACTTTGTTTTTAATTCGGACACTAAAATATATACATTTATTTGTTTGTTTACTTTAGTGTATGTTGATGCCTCTTCCCTCCCAATATATGTATTTATTTATGCATTTCATCGACTGTATGCATTTCCCCCTTGGCTGAAGCATGTTTGTGTGCTTTTTTCCAATTGGATTTATTTATTTTATTTATTTAAAATATTTTTACCCTGCCATTCTTCTAAAAAAAAAAAGGTCCAAGGTGGCTTACATTATTAAACATGCAATATTAAGAGCTAAACACAGTAATTTATTCAAATATTTTAAAAGAATTATATTGAAAATAGCTAACATTATACTGAAAATGCTAGGTAAAAGCATTACTAAAAACAGATTTGGAAGCAACAAACCACAAACCCATTTTAAAACGTCTCCTAAGGAAGAGAAAGGTCTCCAGCTGCTAGCAAAAGGACAGCAAAGAAGGGGCCAGCCTGGGCTCCTGTGGGAGGGAGTTCCAGAGTGTAGGTGCAGTGAAAGAGAAGGCCCTCTCCTATGTCCCCACCAAAGCAGTGAAAAAGAAGGCCCTCCCCTATGTCCCCACCAAACGTACCTCAGAGTGTAGGAGGACTGAGAGGAAGGCCTCCCCTGATGATCTTAACACCCGGGCAGGCTCATAAAGGTGGACATGTTCTTTGAAATAGGTCAGACCCAAACCATTTAGGACTTTATAGGTTAAAACTTGCACTTTGAATTCTGCCCAGAAATGGATCCGTAGCCAGTGGAGCTATTGTAACAGGCGGATTATCTGATCCCAGTAGCCAGCTCCTGTTAACAATCTGGCTGCAGCATAAGGGGCCTGCTGAAGTGTCTGCGTACTTTCCAAAGACAGCGGCACAGAGAGTGCATTACAGTAGTCCAGCCAGGATGTAATCAAGGCATAGGTCACTGGGGCCAGGTCAGACCTCTTGTATGCATTTTTTTTTTGAAAAAGCTATTCACATTTTCAAAATGTGTGCATTGTTTTGCATGTGTTTTGTTTCTATGAAATGCTTCCTGAACTCCCCAAACGAGTACGATTTCTGAGGCAAAGTTTGTTTCGCCTTGCAGCAGATCTTCAGAAGGGAACAACAGCAGCCTCCACGGAAAGGAAATGAAGGAAATTCTTCCTTTCTCCATCTTTGCCTCTGCTGGAGTTCTGACACCTGCTTTTTGAGATATTAGTCCGTAGCCCCAAGTGGCGACACTTCAGTCTCAGCCTGATAACCTAACCACAGAATAAAAGAGAGAGAGAGAGAGAATAACACATTTGGATTGTACAAATTGCCTCATGGCATAAAATAGGGGCTGTGCGTTGATCCAAGGTTTGGTCCAGACTCCAGTGCAGCTCTTTAGAAAACAGTCCGGTTCACCATGGATCAAAGGCTACACCTGCTTCGCCTTGGGTCCAATGCCAAATATCAGGGAAGCTTAATTTTTTTAAAAAAAAAAAACCCATGTAAGTCATTTTTCCTTGTGAGAACACCTAGTGAAAGTTGCACTCACGGATTCAGTGGTTCAGCTGTTCACTAGCAGCACCTACCCAGCATGTGACGGAGTGGGCGGCTGTATTTGGCAGCCCATGTGAAAATCACTTGCACATCACTGCGGTGCTGATGGTAGAGTGAGGCTAGATGTAATAAAAAAAACAGGAGCTTTGGACTTTTGCCCTTGGATATCTATAACACAGCTCCTAATATGATGCTCTCATCCTTGCGCTGCCACACAACATTAGCACAGTGTGGAAACTGACAGCATGACAGCCTCAGACCACACACAGTGCTATTGTAGAAATATCAAAGAAAAGGGTGCAAAGGGAAATGGAAGAGGTGGTAGCAGTTAATTCTGTCTCTCCCGCTAAGTTAAATTTAGCCTCTGCAAGGCAGGCAGGGCCTGAATCCAGTGACAGATCTCTATTGCCCTCTGTTGGTGAAGATGCCAAAGAGCAGTTAAGAGGCCAAAAGACGGAGGGTGCATGCAATAAGATAGCTCTCTTTTTGCACTGCCCATGGCAGGGTCTGGTTCGATCTATTTTCCAATGACCAGATGATGTGTAGCATGACATTGATCTGTGCCAAGTCTAGATCTTTTTGGTCCAACAGCAAGGAAATTCTTTTTTCTTTTCTTTTCTTTTTTCCCCGGAGCTGATATGAGACCAGATTCCATGTGGACAGAAGGGTTGCTTTAAACTGGATTGCTTTTAAAGATTGGCTCTCTCCAGCGCAATCCAATGTAAACCTGTATTGCTGTCTGATCATACCCTGATCTGCTTTTTGTTTGCATGCCGAACCTGTAAAAGAAATGTAAGCAAATTTAAATTGATAAGTGTGTTGTTGTTTTTAAAAAAAGAATCCAAATATTTGTCCTTCAGTATTAATGCCTCTGTAATGATCAGTTCAAAAGCATGCAAATGCGAGTAGATAAATAGGTACCACCTCAGTGGGAAGGTAAAACGGCGTTCCCTAGTCACGCTGGCCATGTGACAACGGAAACTGTCTTCGGACAAGTGCTGGCTCTCCGGCTTGAGAACGGAATGAGCACCGCCCCCTAAAGTCGGACACGACTGGACTGAAAATGTCAAGGGGAACCTTTACCTTTAATGATCAGTTAACTGTGATTAGGGCTTGTGAGTTGGAGGAAGGAAGGCGAGATGCAAAAGATGGCAGGGCTCCAACATTTTAGGTCTTTTCCAGACAAGGCATTTATTCCACCAATACCCCTTTCTGTCCCTTGATGCTGAAGGAGGATGGTGTTTAACAGAATTCATATCCATACCTGTCTTTAAAAATTGATTTCTCTTCTCTTTAAGAAAGGCTCTTCTCTGAAAAAAAAAATCTTTACCAACACTTTGAGAAATATTTAGGAAATTCCCTTCTCTGTTACAGCTTTTCTGTTTCTCTTTGTTCTCTTTTTCTTTTAAGTGCTAATTGATAGCTTCAAAGCTGGAAGCCCTCACTGTAGACATCAACTTCAGATGGAAAGCACCACAGCAGTAATCTCCATCCCTGGACATAGTTTAAATCACACAAAGAAATACTAAAAAATAAACCATTCTTTTATCAGGGACAAAAAAAAAGTGTAGAGTCACAGGAGCTTTGAACTGATATAAGAGAAGTGTGCATGAATAATAGGAGAAATGCAGATGTTCCACTGCATTTTGTGACTGTGAAGAAATATCAGCAGCTATAGCTTATGTGAGTTCCAGTGCAGTGTAGATGTTAGAATGCTAGACTTGGGACATTAAGGTTGTGTCCCTACCAAGCTGGGAAATTCAGGCACCAGACTAGTCCTCAAACCAACTTCCCTCAAGGGTCATTGTGATGATAAGAGAGCAGCAGGGAGAAGAACCATGAACACCATCGGGGGTTCACTGGAGAAAAAGTGGAATATAAATGTAACAAATATGAGTAATAAATGAGTGAGCTTCATTTTTTGAGGTCCTCCCCCCCCCTTCTTCTACAGAACAGATGCAGGAACTTTGTCCTCTGTCCTTATTTTGTATCTGATCACTCTAGCCGCGGTTCTGGCTCAAACTTGCCAGCTGCAACGTACCCGCCTGCTAGGATTTCAACAGCCTTAATCTGCCATTCCCTCCTGCTTTATCCAGGTCTCAAGGAAGTGCCGAGAGAGGTCTCATCAGACACCACACTCCTGGATCTGCAGAACAACCAGATTACTGAACTGCGCAAAGATGACTTTAAGGGGCTCCATCATCTATATGTATGTATCGCAGAAGCTTCTTCTCTCTTTCTCCTTTGCATCCTGGCTAGGAGTCCCATCATCTTTCACCCAGGGTTCTGCTAGGGCTGTACCCTTGGGGAAAAAAAGAAATAAAAATATGATTGTACCTTGAAGCCTTTTTTTCATTGCAACCTGCTCCTCTCACTACAAAACACATATGGAATTTGGCAGCTGGACTTTTGATTCAGTCTATCTCTTTTCTAGGACCATATTATGTCCCGTTTGTCCTGGCTTCTGCCTGGCTTCCTAGAAGAGAGACCTTCACAATTCCAATTCCACTCCCCAAACCAGGGGTGAGGAATGTGTGGCCCTCCAGGTGTTGTTGGGGTCCATTTCTAATCAGCTACAGATAGCCTTTCCCATGATGAGAGATGATGGGATTATTAGTTCATTAGCATCTGGAGAACTTGCCCCTGTCCTAAAGCCTCTGTCTTAAACTACATTTGAGTAAGGAGCATCCTTTCCCATTTATTGCTCCAAACTTTCTTTGCACACGAAGACCAATTTTTTAATTGTTGGGCCACTGGGTGCAACCACATTGGCCCTTTTGATGCAGGCTGGTATGATCTAAATTGGGTCACTTGAGGTTGCAGGGGAGGAGAGATACGTAATTTGGCACCATCCTCATGTCCAAATGGCATACTGACCTCCAGAGAGCCTCCAGCTCCCTCTGATTGTCAGTTGAACACTTCTTCTGCTCCTCTGTGGAGGGGCAGGGAAAGTGATGTTATTAATTTTACCTGTACTACTGCATCACTGATGCACTGAAGCACTTAGATTAAATTTTTTTTGAAAAATTCTTGGCCTTGGGTGTAGCTGGCAAAGAGAAACTGCCCACAGCCAAGGTTTTGAACAGCACTTCACACAAAGACAAAGGGGGGGGATTAAGTGATTCAGTGCAACAGCTATAGTCCAGTAGAGTAAAAAATAATAATACCTGCCCGTCTACAGAGGAGCTGTGGAAGTGTACACTTTGCTGATATCCTGAAGTGACTTGCTTATTAAACCACTTCATGATATTGGAAATTGACAGTGGAAGGAGCTTTGGCAGTTTTGACAGCTGCAAGGCTTGATTTTAGTCCATTCCCAGTGATTGCATGTGCTGATAATGGACTGAACTAGAGCACCCCAAACTGCACCAAAAATCAGACGCCCCTGACAGGGGCTCAGAAATGTGTGGGATGAGGTGCTTTGGGGGCCAATTGGCCTACTCTAGCAACTACGTTTTGTAGTAACTGGGAGAAAGAACAAACTAATCTGTCCCTGCAATGCACCAAACGGTGGGACAAATGCCTGTCTGAGCAAGCCCACTGCAAAAGAACTATTATTGACGCCATGGCAACTCATGACTTGAGGAGGAGAGTACTGCCTTTGACATTTTAGGGTGAGGCACTTCCTCCGTTCTCTTTCTGACCCACACCTCTTTGTGAGACATTAAAGATGAACACACTTTATTTGACATAAGCTTTCATGGACAGCAAGAGGTGGAACCTTTGATGGGCAAGGCTTGTACCCTACCACTAATATATCACCTCCCCACTCACATTCCATTCTCTTTCTGGCATGGCAGGCTATCTGCTTCGTACCCCATGGCCCACCTTTGGTGCAGTTGCCGGGATGGTTGGTTCCTTCCATTTATCACATGTGTGTCTCTATAAGCCCCCTTACCTTGCCTTCATGTGATTTCTCTGTCTGTTGCAACAGGCCCTGGTATTGGTGAATAATAAGATCTCCAAGATCCACCCAAAGGCCTTCAGCCCCCTGCACAAGCTACAGAAACTCTACATCTCCAAGAACAACCTGGTAGAAATCCCTCCAAACCTCCCCAAGTCCCTGGTGGAACTCCGCATCCATGACAACAAAATCAAGAAGATCTCCAAGGATGTCTTCAATGGGCTGAACAACATGAATTGTATTGGTGAGACACAGCAGGCATCCCGGCTTACTCAGACAGGCTCTCATCCTTACGGTCAGGCTTGCTATCCTGTCCATGAATTGTCTTTGGATTATAGAAAATTCACATTTCTGTTAGTAGCCTGCCACCATGCATAGGTGCAGAACCTGCTGATTCTGAGGACAGACCAATCCCTTCCACAGAAATGTGATGTCTTGTCCTTAGATAAGAATGTCTCCAAGAATGGCCGGGGGGGGGGGAGAGAAGCTCTTTAGGGTCTTTATACACAGAATTTGAAGTTTTAGCTACTGAGGCTTGTACCCACTTATAGACCAATCTGCTGGGTGTTTGCCTCCATCTGTTTATAACTATCTGTACTGTTTATTTATTTTTATTCATCAAAGTACTTTGAACTTTCTCCATACCAGTGGATCTCAGCGTGGAGTACAATAAATAAGATTTCCTTTAAAAAAATATAAAACATTTACGATATTTGAAAACAATTTCAAAAGCTTCTGAAACATTTAAGAACCCTCGAATGAGTCAAGCAAAACAACAGCCAGCAAACCAGAAGCCTGTAGGCCAGTGGTTCCCACCCTTGGGTAACCCAGATGTTCTTGGACTGCAACTCCCAGAAGCCTTCACCACCAGCTGTGCTGGCCTGGGTTTTCTGGGAGCTGCAGTCCAAGAACAAAGGCTGGGGACCACTGTTATAAACCAAGCCATGATCCCACCAGATATTTGACTGTACATTCAGGTTTTAACTTGGCACTGACATAGAAGTAATGTTGACATCAGTTGGGCCTCCACAGGGAGGGGATTTTACAACAGGAGTGCCAATGCTGTGGACACATCTTTGCACCTGACCAACCTAGAGGGAAAAAAGAAGGATGGAAACATACACAAGGTATAACTCAAATATGCCCCATGCTCTCCGACTGGGATGAAGGTGGGTCTGGATCTAATAAGACTGGACTCTATTGCTCTGTATGACACAATATTTTGTATTCACAGAGATGGGTGGGAACCCCTTGGAAAACAGTGGATTTGAACCTGGGGCTTTTGATGGCCTAAAGCTGAACTATTTGAGGATCTCAGAAGCAAAGCTGACTGGTATACCCAAAGGTAATGTATATTACTTTCCTACCATATTTTCCCATTTGGCAGCTCCTCGGCAAAGCTTCTCTTGATACTCTCTTCCAGTAGCTATTAGCCAAGAAAACCACACGTGGTTATAGTTCTCTGGTTTGATATGGGGTTGCCGTCAATAACTGACAGAATGCTTGTTCCAAACTTACAGTGCCTTGTATCCAGGATTGTAGTAGAGCCAGAAGTTCAAGGGTGGAAACAGGGAGCATGTTATCATTACAGTGGACCCTCTACTTATGGAATTAATTCATATTGGAACGGTGGCTGCAGGTCAAAAAGTCTGTAGGTCGAGTCTCCATTGACCTACAATGCATTGAAAAACGATTAATCCCGTAACTGGCTGTTTTTGTTCCATTTTTGTCCCATTTTGTTTTTTTTTCTGGTCTGTAGGTCGATTCTCAGGCTGCAAGTCGAATCTAAATTTTGCGGCCAGAGAAGTCTGTAACTCGAAAAGTCTGTAAGTCGAGCCGTCTGTAAGTCGAGGGTCCACTGTAGCAGAGACGGTGTCAGTCATTTGCCACCCCACTCAGGCCTCCACACTCCTCAGTGCACCTCCCATCCTCACAGGATTCCAAACTTACAGTGCCTTGTATCCAGGATTGTAGTAGAGCCAGAGGTTCAAGGGTAGAAACAGAGAGCAGAGACGGTGTCAGTCATTTGCCACCCCACTCAGGCCTCCACACTCCTCAGTGCACCTCCCCTCCTCACAGGAGCCGGGAGATAGAATGAATCTTCCTCCAACAGTGTATTGTTGTGATCAGCCCCTGTTGTAATGTCAAGTACTGTATTCTGGTGTAGAATGAGCAGAAAGCTTTATCAAAGACCTGCACCCCCTGCTAAATTAAACCTGTTGGATCTGTTTTGTTGATATGGATCAACACCGCTGCTGGATTTTTGGACTTCCTTTGGAGGTGTGGCCGAGGATAACTATTGTGATGAATGTTGGCATTTTCCAAATTTCACACTCGACCACAGCTTCTACAGATGGAAAGGAAGAAAAAAATGGATGGAAATGTCTGGAACCTCAGATGTTTCATGGAAGAAAGGGCAGGAAAATAAATAAAGATCAGAGCAACCAAGAGAGCAGGCAGGCAGGACCTCGTGGTCTTTTGTATTTAAGCAGTGCTTGGAGTCATAAGATGCACGAGCAGAGGGAGCAGCCCTGTGAAGAAGAGGGCAGTGTCATAGAAGAGCAGCACTGGAGAAGTGCCAACGGGCAGCAAAGTGGCAATGCCCCCATCTGTCTGTATAGGATGGCTTTCCTGGATAGTTGTTTGGATCTCGAAGAAACACCCTCCCAACTGTTAAAATCTGCTGATGAAGACTTTTTTTCACATTCCATCTTCTGCAAAGAAAAGAGGGAGTGGGGGGGGCGACACGATGATCAAGGCATTTTCTAAAACAAACAACCAAGCAAACAAACAAACAAACAAAAAACCCAAGCTAAAGGAACTTGTTTTCCATGGACTCAAACAGTCTCCACTCCCAGTTCTGTGGAGAAAGATACATTTTGCTGTTTGAGTGGGCCTTGAAGAGGATTAGCTACAGCTGTACCGTTTTGTTTTATCATTGCTGCACTGCTTCCAATTTTGCATTCTGTTTCTTCATTGGTACATGTATTGCTACTTTCATTGTTGCAAACCACTTAAACGATTGGTGAACAGCAGATATTAAGAAATGACAGTATCTTTGCACTCCTTCTCCCTCAACCAGATCTGCCTGAAACTCTAAATGAGCTACATCTGGACCACAACAAGATCCAAGCTATTGAATTGGAGGATCTGATCCATTACTCCAAAGTTTACAGGTAGTGTATGCCTGGCACATTGCGCTGTGATCGTGACTGGCAAGCTTGCCATCCCTGGGTGTGACGACTGGCTGTGGTATTCCTGAAGTTCAAGGGAAATCATGTGAGGAAGCTGCTGCAAAAGCAACCTGGATATTGTCTTTCCCTTTCTTTCCATTTTAGCCATCCCCTAAATTCCTTCACAACTCTTCAGGGCCAAACCCTGTATTTATTATTATTATTATTATTATTATTATTATTATTATTATTATTATTATTATTATTATTATTATTATTATTATTATTATTATTATTATTATATCACAGGGAAAGCCAAGTGCAGACACAGAGGAAAACATTGGGAATTTTGAAATAATAGAAGGGAATGAAACAGCTAATCTAGTCAATATGGGGAATCCTAGAAATCTGACTTTCATAAGAGAACAAAAAGATGACCCTTCCTTAATTGAGTGCTATAGACAAGGCTGTC